TTTTACTTTCTTTGAAAACAAAAATTACACAATTAAAATAAGCTTTACTATGGGGATTGTAGAGCTTTTCACGCTGAATCTTATAGTATATGTTGCTTTTTTGATAAAACGTATTTAGAGATTAAAATATGATATGCAAAGTGGGGTCCACCGGTGGACCCCATCGGGCCCAATGGGTTAAGACAAAGTTTATTACAGAACTCATTCCGATCGAATATTTCATAACGTGAATAATCTCAAGACAATACTTTTATGCATTTAAATTCGGGAAGGATGTGAATGTCTCCTTTAGAAACACGAACACACTCACACCCTACAGAGTTAGATAAGAAGATTGATTATGTACATGCCTTCTCATGGCTTCTTTTTGCAGAAAGTTGGTGTCGTTATAATTTCATGCAGACAGGTTGTATTTTAGGGTCGGTCGTATCAACACTAGGCATCGTATACTAGACATACAGCAAACTGTGCACCACTCCCATTATCTTGTGCTTAGAATTAACTAAATCTGGCTGATTCTCTATGACCTCATATTGATTAAAGGAAAGAAAAACATCAATGAATTTATCGACAACTACCATGTGCTTCGTCTTGTGCACCAACTACAGTAATTTTTCTCTTCTCAAACAAAAGATAAAGGAGTTGGCAATATTCAAGTGTTTTATAACCGAAGTAGAAGTCATATTTCTCTCACTGAATTAGTTGTTCGACACAACCAACAAGAAGCATTGCGTCATCTCAGCATAATACTTTCCCAGCAATTATTATTTCCACGTTAAACAAAATCAAAAAGCAAGAGAATGGGTTCCGGTGCCAGTTTCCAATGCTCGATATGCACAAGCGTTTCATACGGTCGCTGTGATCATTGTGGACGACGCTTTTGTCCTACACATTTTTATGGTCACGCCTGTACAGGAGTCCGCGGCTATGGAACAACAACCGTTCATTTGAAACCGGAGTGTGAATCGTGTAGCAGTGACGCTGTTGGAACCTGTAATGGATGTGGAAAGAAAGTGTGTTCAAGTTGCTTCTCATGGAATCATAAGGAACAATGTGGTCGCACATATTATCGATAAACTCTTCTTCTCTTTTTTTGCTAATAATGACTTTAATATACATCAGCTAAGAAAAAACTTAATCATAATAAATGAAGATATGATTTTTTCAGATATTTGTAATACAATGCTCATAAGTGTATGAGTTTTTTTTATACCAGACGAATCTTTCATAGTTGAATAGAGATTACGATTAAAATCTTGAATGATTTAAATTATTCTATGTCAGCTGTATGAAATACTTCGGGAAGGCATAGTTAAGTGTCGAATAACATTGATAGGTACGAACAGAGTCGTACGTCTTTTTAAATCATTCGATATTTTCTATTTCTACTACAGTTCGATAATAATAATCTTAGAAGATTGAACTTTTGTCTTTTCGCTGCTATTGAGTGTATAAGTCTTTTCTTTCATCCACACCTTTCAAAGCATCAGGATAGTAATGAAGAAGTATCATTTTTAAAACAAAACCTACGATGAAAAATAGTATATCCAAAAACTGCGCTTAAAATGTTCGAAGATGGGGCTGGAAACAAAAAACTTCTCTAGATCAGATTCAGTATAGTAAGACGAAGGATTATCACGAGTAGTGCTTAAAAAAGTTTATTTTTAAATTATAGTTAATACATTTTGAGGGACATACATATTAAAATATTATTTTTAGTGTTTACTCTGTTCTTGTGAGCGTTTTAGCGACA